TCGCGACCACTTTGACGCTCAAAGAGGTGTTTTGGGGCCACCAAAAGGCACCATTTTCACGCCCGAAAACACATATACAATAAAAACAAAAGAACGTGCATCATCTGCAGCCCAATAGCAAAACATATACCGAATCTCAAAAGAATCCGTCCACCCAAACGCGAGAAACAGCTGCGAACATGAAAATCTAAATCTCGCACAAAACCCTTCCGCGGAAGGATGTCTCCTCCCCCGGAGTAGAGTGTAAAGTAAACTCAATCAGCTGTTTTCCTCTCTAACAGGGATTGGTCGACAAACCCGGCGTTTGGAGACTGCGGTGCGACCACGCCTGCTGGATACTTCGACAAAGAGTTTTGCGACGGGGCCAAGCCTTTCATCTGCGAACGTGCGCCAAGTAGGTTTCATTTCTACTTACCTCAACTGTGATGCGTAAGAACTAAATTTTGTTTTGTGTTCTTGCATTATGAAAATGTAGTCAACATATTTAGTAGATGCCATACTTTGTACCCTGTACAACCAAGGAGCTTTCATGACAGCTCCTTGCTACTACAAATAAATCATTCATTCATTCATTCATTCATTCATTCATTCATTCACCGTGCTGCAGGTACTATCGTGCGGGACCTGTGTCGCTGCTGTACTGTCAGTCAGTATGAAGAGCAGCACGTGGCGATGACCTGTGCGACCGGGCACAGCTTCTACTTCACCCACCGCATCATCACCGACTGCATCTGCGAGGAGCATTTCTGTGAGGATGAGGACTATCACGTCATAGAAGGTTAAAAGGTATACCTTTAACGGACTGATATAACGAGATACGGCCATGGACTGATATTACAAAAACTACGACCACGGAATAACCCAACGGACTGATATAATGAGATACGACCATGGAATATAACCCAACGGACTGATATAACGATATACGGCCATGGACTGATATTAAAACGAGATACGACCACGGAATAACTTTAACGGACTGATATAACGAGATACGACCATGGAATATAACCTAACGGACTGATATAACGATATACGGCCATGGACTGATATTACAAAAACTACGACCATGGAATAACCCAACGGACTGATATAATGAGATACGACCATGGAATATAACCCAACGGACTGATATAACGATATACGGCCATGGACTGATATTAAAACGAGATACGACCATGGGATAACCCTTCGGACTGATATAATGAGATACGACCATGGAATATAACCCAACGGACTGATATTTCGGGATACGACCAACGCGGAACCCCCAACGAACGAACAACGATTACCGGAAAACATGCTGTATGACAGGACTGTTGGTTTAGATCTACAAAACTGAATCTCAAGTGTTTCTATTACACTCATTATCTTGGCATTTTCTGTCTTTATATATATATACATTGCTGTTTTCCTTCTTCAGCAATGTAATAATAACTCTGACACTCTCTTATGTTTGGTTCCAATTATGGCTAGAACCTCAATGTCTGGTCGACTCATATCACATTTATTCCAAAAGATATCACTTGAGGTACCGAATGGCTCGGTCGAAAGACTTCATGTCGTCAGCATGTTGCATTTCATTGTTTTTTGTAGTTGCCTAGATTGAGATGCCTTTAGTCATAGGAGTGTGACATGAGATTGAAGAAATAAACACATTGGTCGGAAGGTTGCAGAAGAATACCACCATATGCATAGAAAATGATAACATCAAGGCTCATGCAAAGCAACTGATGAGTGTTTGTACTGAACTTGGAAAAATCTTGATTGATATAATTAAGCGATTGAACATGGACACCACTCAAAGATACGATAGTTAGCTGCAAATATTTGCTTTATTCTCCATACTTAGAAAATGTACGTACACCAAAAAAAAATCTGGAATGAAACTATGTGGAATAATTGAAGATCGTTAAGTAGACACTACAAGTAGAGACCGCACATTGTGAGGACATGACAAAGTGTTATAGGTGAAATACAAGTATGAAGTTATAAAAGAGGTGGAATACGAGTATGGGGTTTTTGCCACGGTAACATCATGTGGTTATCTGATGGGAAAAGAGAAGGCAGATAAGTTGGCATCTTGGGCAGGATCGTCAACAAAGAAATTTTTGGAAAAACACCTGGAAAGTTTGACATTTGGACAAAAGGTTGTGTAAAAGATCACGATAGAATGTTCACTGACTGGTTCATATCATTGTTTTAAACTGAAGTATTATCAGAAATAATGTTACCATCTAGATTGGTAAAAGAGCATAGGTTGGTTGCCATGTCCCACATTGCGATTTCAATTTCAATGAAGTTCATCGAATTTTAATCTAAATTATTACATTTTTTCTTTGATTTCGGTGCAGGAAAGTTATTCAAGGTAGCGAAGATTACACCAGGTATGTACTTAATGCTCAGGATTTGTATGCCACATTTCAGACTTTCTACCATATTCTATTATCATGATACTATGACATAATGTGATGACACTAACCTTCATCCTTTCAGTATCATAGTACTTAAGCCAATATTAATAGAATCAATTCGTTAATAGTCATATACTACCTTTCTTCTACACTATACAAATCCTGAACACATTATGAGAGGCACCGTATTTCTTGTAGGCATGAGAATAAAAGCGCAAGCAGAAAAAGTAAGTGTACAGTCTCCTTCGTTCTGTCGGTTGTTTCTGTTTATGTAATTGTGACCTAATGACTGTATATACTACTGAATGCACTCAGTATCAAGATCAGACAATATTACATACAACACACACTACACCGTTTTACCAACACCTATGTACATACAAGTTATCAAGATCTATCGATAGCTTCTCCAATTTTGCTGTTCGATCACACTCAAAAACACAAAGTTCTGAAAACCCAGCCTTGTTGGTGAAGATAACAGTTGCATTTGCTATTATAAAAACGTCGGTCTCATCAAATATGTACACAGGCTGAAGCTCGTCTGGTCATCAATGTATGTAGTAGACCTGTTAGCTCCAAACCTTCGCTTGTGACGCTTGGGTCGTCTGGTTCACACTACAATAGAGAAATATTTCCATGAGTAAAGAATGTACAATGTATAATCATAAACGGTACATCATAGTGGACAAAACATAATTCACGGCTCGATAAATGGAGTCAGTTATGGTTCTGAAGGCTAGAGGCATCTGTATCAGTATCTGTATAGCCAGTATAACCGCCCTTCGGCGTAACACACCAGCTTCGCAGGAACGCGGCGCGGCGGCAGCTGGCTACATTACACCTTGGTTAATAACTCTGGTACTTGAAGGCATGACTATTTCTTGTTTCTTTCTGGCTGGCATTAGGTACTTAGTAGATCTTCACTGATATTTTGACTGATATTTTTGAAAGATGTACCTGGCTTTTTGACAAGCTGTGAGTCCTCCGCGAGCTGACCGTTTTTCTGGAGATCTGCTTCCCCGGAATGGCGGCGTCTGATGACGTAACAACAGCCGATCATCACCATGACAACCAGCACAGCCGCGAATGTGCTGACCGTTGCCAGGGCAACGATTAACGGCCTCTTGTCACACGCCTCCAAGCGTGCGCTCTCTATGGACAAAATGCGTAAAAATGGTTTTAAAAAAGACCAATAACTTAATTGTTAGAAACTAGCTTTGACGAGCGATCGTCATGACTTCACGGCCAGTGAGTGGTAGGCAACAAACAGGTGACGATTGGCTGATTTGCCTACCAATAATTTGCATATGTTCTTAAATAATTTCCATGTATATGATGTGAGCTAATGCAGTGATCGCCCGTCATACCTACGTATCCCAGCATGCATTGCTACTTCAACATGGCGGCTTTACAAAACATCCATGGTGTACATCTTGTTGTGGTAAGTAACATTTGTCTGTTTTTTTTCTTTGTCGAGACCGTCAACTGATCTGAATATCAAACGTGAGTTTGTTTCGATAGCTGTACTTTTAGTGAAGTTAGTATTAAAGGGTACTGGACATTCCCCTGTAGCAAACACCCAACCTACACCCCCCTCCCCATACACACACACACACACACACACACACACACACACACACACACACACACACACACACTACACACACACACAC